ACCTAGCGTCCTTACTGGCACCCGTTCCTCTCTTCAAACGATATGAGATGTCACAATCGACTCTCTTTCGGGGTCCAGCATTCTTGCTAGCACTCATTTTCCTGTTCAATCGATGTGGGATCTCAATCTACTCCCTTTGAGGCTCAGCATCCTTGTTGACACTCGTTCCCTTTTTCAATCGATGTGAGATCTTAATTCACCCCCTTTCGGGGCCCAATGTTCTCACTCACACTCGTTCCTCTTTCCAATCGATGTGTGGGATCTCACAATCTAACTCCCTTCGGAGCTCAACGTCCTTGCTAGTACGGCGCCCATGTCTGGTCCTTTTTGGGCTTTCTCTTTCAGGCTTCCCCTCAAGGTTTATAAAATACGTCTTTTAGGGAGAGGTTTCTTCATCCTTATAAAGAATACTTCATTCTCCTCCTCTCCAACCTAAAGATACTTCATTCCCCTCTGAGGTGAGACCTCACAGCAGACACAATACTTCTAGAAGCACTTTTAGTAGAACCTAAAAGAAGCTTTTAATAAATGGATGGATTCCAAGCACTTATTAACCTTCCAAGCCATTCAAAGCGCACTTAAGTTGTTTAAAAGAATGAATCTAATCTGTTTGTGTTGGAAAAGGGATGAAATCAGAAGGCTCAAAGCTGAAAACCCTCAAATGACTCACAAGGAGGCCTTCAGAACAGCTGCAAAAAATGTAAGCAGCAGCAGTCTCAATCAACTTAATTATGTTCTGTGAATCCTGAATGATTTTGATTTTGATTTTGATTTTGATTTTGATTTTGATTTTTCAGTGGGCAAACTTCCCTCCAACAATCCAACAAAAAGAAGACCCACAGAACACTCAAATTCCAGAGGTAAAAACACAATCTTTGAGATCAGAAGTTATGATATCCAATCAACTCTTCAAACCCATTACACCAAATGGAAAGCAAAACACAAATCATTCATAACGATGCTTGAAAATGCTCCTTTTCCAAAGCCACAAATTTATGAGACTTCCATTAAAAGGGTAGGAAAGCTCATAATAATGAAGGAGTTGGGGCGTTTTTGTGGCAATTTAAAGCAACTGACGCAGTAATCAGAGTTTGTGTGTTTGAAAAGTTTCAGGTTGAGAAGAATGGAAAGTGTTTCCCAAGGCATTCAGTTTTGACATAACTCACCATTTCAGTGGAAGCCATGCCTGCAATGCTTTCACTTTCTGCTCTCTCTTACTTCAAAAGGGTTGTTGCCATTGGGAATCAAAGTTTCTTCCTTTTTTTCTCCTTTTCTCAGTCGATTAACTGTCTGGAAAGCTTTGCTTTTTATAGAATCTTCTGCATGTCGGTTTGTGTTTTCTTTACTAAATCGCCCTTTTCAACTCTGAAACTATCAACCAGAATTCTTGGTTCAGAAACAAGAATTGAATGCCCAGTTCCCACTCCCAATCAATTTTAATTTTAACGAATTCAAAATCACTTACGTTTAAAATTATTAGATAATATGAAATTGGTGAAACGTTGGATTTTCATCTCATTTTAGAAAAATAGTGATGAGATAAATGGACTTCTAACAAATTATAACATAAGCATAACAATGGAAGATAAAAGGGTGCAGTTATATAGAAATAGAGAGGTTCATTTAACCACTCCAATTCCATAAGAGTCCATAATGGAGAGTTGTGAGATTACATATCAATTGAAGAGGAAATATATGTATATTTTAGAAATAAGTTGATTGGCATTATAATTATTATCATTACTTTAAAAAAATTTACTTAAAATTAGACTCTGTTTGGATTCCAACGAAAACAAATTGAGAATTTAATGGGAGTGAGAGATTGCCTTTCTAGAATACCAGCTAAACGATCCAGTCAGTGTCGTCATGGGCCTTGAGGCACATGGCCTATAATTATGTGGGCCTCCAAGAAGCCCATAAAATGCAATAAAAAGTACACTGGGGTGAGAGAGGCTCGAACTCTCGACCTCAGGATAACTCTTTAGCTATGAGACCTACGCGCTAGCCAACTGCGCCACCACCCCATTGATGCGTTTTGGTGCCAAGAATTAATTATTTATAAAAAAAACAAATTGTCCTTTTCTAGAATATCAGCCAAACGAGGCCAGAAGCCCATTAATTTCGTGGGCCTCAAAGAAGCCCATGAAAGAAGTACGGTCTTTTCTCAAATTTTACTAGGCCAAGAACTAAAAATTATCTATAGGAGTAGAAATTACGTTGGTTGGACGCTATAATTTTTCTTTTTCTTTTTTTTTTCTATGAATTATTATTACTTTTATTAAAATATTTTATAATATACTATTTAAAAAATTACATTTAAAGTTATTTAAATAAAAGTTTCTCTTAAAAAATTATTATTATGGTTGAAAAAATAAAAACAAATTTTTTTGGGTGAACCGGGCCCTGTGGATTCCGAGGACTCATTGTTTTGATTCCAACAAATAAAAACATTTTCTTATTTGGAAAAAAGAAAAAAATTGCTTTTCTAGAATATCGGCTAAACGATCTAGAAAGTGTCATCATGGGCCTTGAGACACATGGCCTACAATTCTGTGGGCCTCCAAGAAGAAGCCCATACAATGGAGTAAAAATATGCTGGGGTGAGAGAGGCTCGAACTCTCGACCTCAGGATCACTCTTTAGCTATGAGACCTACGCGCTAGCCAACTGCGCCACCACCCCATTTGGAATTTATTATTTTATAAAAATATCACTAAGATGTTTTCTCAGATTTTACTTGTATCTTGTAAGATCCTATGTCGGTTAGAAAGGAAAATGAAGCATTTTTTGGGTGTGCAAACCTTTCCCAAACAAACACGTTTTAAAATCGTGAAGCTGATGTCGATACGAATGTGCCAAAGTGGACAATATTTTCTAGTAGTGGGCTTGAGTTGTTACAAATGGTATAGCAAGACATAGAGCGGTGTGTCAGCGAGGATGCTGGGTCTCCAAGGGAGTGAATTGTGAGATCCCACATCGGTTGAAAAGGGGAATGAAACATTCGTTATAAGGGTGTGAAAACATCTCCTTAATAGACACGTTCTAGAACCATGAGTCTAACGGCAATACGTAACTATTTTGACTCGAAAATATCTACTAGCGGTAGGTTTTGGCTATTAAAATATCCCTACAAAAAAAAATGGCTAAGGAATGAAACCACTTTGAGGTATTTTTCTATTTACAATATGGGTGCATAATCTTTTTTTCGGTCATCATTATAGTTTTACTATAATCTCTAGTGATCCTCGAATATTGAGTATGAAGCTTTTAGTTTTTGGATTTTTTTACTCTCGAATTTCTTCTAAATTCTAGAGCTATAATGCACCATTTGATCGTACGAATTATATTACTCAATCATAAATAAATCTAACATTATACTTCGAAATATATTATTGTATAGAATTTCCTAATGGTTCTTACAAGAAAAATTTAACTGAAGAATTAAATTTTTTTTATAACTAAAAGGATTGTAACCCAAATAGTTGTGTTCGTGGAGATCCAAACTACAACTATCAATCTATCGAAGAAGGTTAGAGCTTAACAATTGAGCTAATTTTTCTCTCTCTCCTTCTCTCAAGTTCTCAAAAGATTCCGTTGCCGGCGCCGGCGTCCAAGGTGAGTTCCCAATCTTCTACCAGAATCGTCTTTTTCAGAGAGGTTTTTGTGGTTAATTCGTGTCTGCTCCGGCCATGTTGGGTTTTGCTTGCTTCAAGCTCTTAATCGAACGGCTTGTTTATTGTTATCTTCTTCGGATCGTTTCTTATCAATTCCGGATCCGATTTTCTGTATCTTAGGTTAAATAATTTCAAGGTTTCTGTCGGCAGCGATGTTGGAAAGATCTCCGGTGGTGATGGAAAGGAATTCTTGAATTTTGAGTTCAGCTTCTGATGTTTCGAGATTGTTGTTCCATGAAAAGTTATGGGTTGACTTTAGGTCAACGTTTTGGGCTTCCCCATGAGTTTGGTTTGATGTTTTCTAGTTGAATTGTTGGGATTCATTCTGTTGTCTGAATGGATAAAGGAAAAATGGATGGATTTTTCATTGTTTTTGAATCTTTCTTGGTGTTGGTATTCAGCTAAGAATCAATAACAGGAAAAAGTCCAGGAAGTTTCTCTTTGAAACATTGGTTTTAGCATAGCTCTAAGATATTTGCCTTCAACTAAACATGTCAGATAGTTATAGGTTCGAATCCATCACGAGCTAGAACTCAAAACATCTCTTGACAGAAGCACTTTTTGTCTAAACGGCGCTTCGAGATGTCAGAGACTAACTCTTTGGTTGGTCTTTCCGGGGAGGTTCTCTAAGTTTTTCTTTAGCGTAGTTCCAAGACATATGCCTTCGACTAAAGATGTCAGATAGTTAGAGGTTTGAATCCATCACGAGCTAGAACTCAAAACATCTCTTGACAGAAGCATTTTTCGTCTAAACGGCGCTTCGAGATGTCAGAGACTAACTCTTTGGTTGGTCTTTCAGGGGAGGGAGGTTGTTTAGCATTTCACAGGGGGGACTTGGTAGCAAATTGGGAATTGTTTGCAGACCCAAGTGAAAGAAAGAAATGGGTTCTGAAGGTCCAGGTGGGGTTACCATTCATGTGACTGGATTTAAGAAGTTCCATGAAGTTCCATGGGGTTGCTGAAAATCCTACCGAGGCTATCGTCGATAACTTGAAGGCATTCGTCGAAGAAACAGGATTGCCTGCTGGTGTCACTCTTGGAAGTTGTACAGTTCTTGATGTTGCTGGAGATGGTGCTCTTCCACTGCTTTACAAAGTTCTGGAATCTGGCATCTCAAATGTCACAGAAACTACCAAACTCATATGGGTCAGTTCTTTTTAACACAACTCTCTTTAGGCCAATTGTTCTTTATAGTGCAAAGAAGATAAATTGGAGAAAGTAGAGATATCTATAGGGACTTCTAGATTTAGTGAATTCATTACGTAAATTTTAAAAACCACCTCAGTTACTAATATTTCTATCCTATCAAGATAGGCCCCACACACAGCAAAGGAAAATTTTTGTATATACTGCTATGTAGCAAAATTTCCGTTTGTGTATAGCTGAGATATGATTAATAATGAATACTCAAACCTGGAGAGGATCTGTTCATGTTTGTTCAGCTTCACTTAGGAGTCAATAGTGGTTCGGCGAGGTTTGCTGTTGAATGGCAAGCTGTAAACGAAGCTACTTTTCGTTATCCAGACGAACTCGGATGGCAGCCTCAGGTTGATTTCCTCTCTTACTTCTTGAGCTGTTATTGTATGTCTACAAAAAGCAGAACAATATATAGACATTTCATCAAAATTCAGATCATTTCTATTTGCTGAAGAGAAAAGATTAGATCATGGTATTAAGAACAAATGACAAGGAAAAGAAAAACCAAAAACAATGAAAATCTGTGAGAACCAAACCAGTTTGTTCCCCTTTTTTTCTTTCATTGTTGTTCTTTTTAACCCAGAAACTTCCAATAGTCATGGAGGATGGGGAAATCTCAATGATTAGAAAGGTACTTCTCTCTGGCCTTTTTCTGAATTTTATCATAGGCTTGGGATGTAACTTACTGTCAATCATTGTTTCAAGACATCCTGCTCGGCTCCGACCATCTTAGAGAGGTTGAAGGCGAAAAGCTACAACGTGATATTATCGGAGGATGCGGGTCGTTTTGTTTGCAATTATGTATATTACCATTCCCTCAGATTGGCAGAACAGAAGGGTCACAAATCCTGGTTTGTCCATGTTCCTCTGTTTTCAAAGATCAACAAAGAAAACCCAGATGCGTTTTGTTCATTCACTTTTAGAAGCCATTGCGTCTACATGTTGAAAATTGTTTTGATTGCAGTGATTGCTCCATCAGTTCTGTAAATGTTAATATCCAAGCTGTGGACGCTGTTTCTTGCAAGGAAGGGCTTTTCTCACAAGGGACAAAAGAAGTTTAGATGCTGGTTTGCTTTGCTCCACTATTTTTGGAAACTCCTTGTCTGGTGACTGACTGATCAATTCATGTAATGAAAACAAAAATCAGAATAGGCAGTAGACTATATGAAATCATTGAAATGTATTGTTCATATTCTAATGTAAAATGCTTCATCTAGGATGAAAAATGTAGGATTTCATTTAATAGCGTGATAAAGTATAAAGAATGGAAATTCTAAATTCTTGATTATACACGTAGAAATATGGGTTAAATTCTTTTTTATTTATTTTTGTCGATAGTAATGGCCGCCAGCAGATATTGTTCTTTTTCCTTAAAACGCGGCTGCTAGAGAGAAGTTTCCACACCCTTATAAAGAATATTTCGTCTAACTCTCCAACCAACGTAGGATCTCACAATGATAAATGCTACCACAAGTCAGCCGACACGATCATGTCAATTGCCACAGGACTCAATGAATGGGTTTTATGTGGTTCAAGCATTTGGGTTTTGTATGTCATTATTTATGAGTATTTGGAGACTTTTTCTCCACATTTTAAATGTACAGAAACTATTTTCACCATGCATAGAAGAAGCTTCAGAGTTGAGATTGCTCAGAAAAAAGAAATTGTGAAATGAGCCCAAAACAAAGAGAGAGGGACGGGGGAGAAACAACACAAAACGCCTCAATGGCGGTGTTGAATTTGGTGTGCTGGTTTTAGAGTAAAGCAAAGAAACTTCAAGTTTTTCTCTTCTACTTTACGTGTAGGCATATTGGGAAATGGCGACCTCCCCTTAATCTGCTTTCAAGCAAAGCCATATTGCCCACTAAAATGGCTACTTTATTTTCCCTTATAAATTCTAACCTCTTTCATTGCATCATTGTATTAACACAAATTACTCTACTAATTTCTTCTACCAAGTCGACTGAAAATGGATAAATTCTTCCTGCTTTCCCTTCTTGGTATGCTGATCATTGTCTATGGAGTTTCAGGGAGTATCGTGCCTGATGGCGACATTGACATGGTTAAAGAACTCGAAAGTTTCGACATTGAAGAAGAGGACGACAGTGCGGTGGACACATATGCGGTCCCGGCGTGGAGAAGTGAGCACGGGAGCAAGATTCTGATAAATGTGGATAGTTTTGACGCGGTTGGAGATGGAGTTACAGATGACACTATGGTACATAGATATTTCTGTTCGGAAATATGGATTTTGCAGAGACAATACTGAACTGAAGTGTTTATTTTGCAATCAGGCTTTCAGGAAGGCATGGGAGACTGCTTGCAGCTCTTCAAATTCAGTTCTTTTGGTGCCAAAAGAAGGGAGATATCTGGTGAATGCAACTAAGTTTAAAGGGCCATGCAAACATGGTATGGTAATCCAGGTAAGTCATAGGATTATAAGGATTCTTTTCCCCCAAACAAATAAGGAGGGAAGATCATGGTTGAAAGTTAAAGAGTTGACATTGCAGATTGAAGGAACAATAGTTGCACCAGATGAACCAGAGAATTGGGATCCAAAACTTCCCCGTCAATGGCTGGAGTTTACAAAACTAACTGCAGCTACCTTTCAAGGGGATGGAATTATCGACGGCTCCGGTGAGAAATGGTGGGCAGAATCCTGTAAAAAGAACAAGTCCAGGGTAAATTCTTGAACCATCTCTTTGCTTGTTTCTCTAGCTATGTTATTGAAATGTTAATCATTTCTGGTTTCCTGGTTGTTTTTTTTTTTTTCCAGCCTTGCAAAGGAGCACCAACAGTAAGAACAAAACTACTTTCCTCTTAGTGAAAACCACGATTTTCCTCACATTCTGATTTGAGGGATTTCTTGCAGGCATTAACCATAGATTCGAGTTCAAATATAAGAGTAAAAGGCCTTACCATTCAGAACAGCCAACAGATGCATTTCATCATTGCGCGGTCGAAAACTGTTCGAGTTTCGGAGGTAAGAGTGTCAGCTCCAGGAGATAGCCCCAACACCGACGGGATCCACATCACGCAATCAACTAATGTCGTAGTTGAAAACTGCAAGATTTCAACAGGTTTTCTTCATTCTGACATTCATCATGCTACCTTTAACACCACTATTTCACCCTCTAACAGGTTATATGCAGGTGATGACTGCATCTCCATTGTCAATGCTAGCTCTGGCATCAAGATGAAGAGAATATCATGTGGACCAGGACATGGGATCAGGTATCTGCAAATGTTTGCATTTATTCCAAGCACCAAAACCATATCAATGTCTTAGAATTCCTTTCTCTTTTTGTTTGTGTTCCTTAGCATTGGAAGTTTAGGGAAAGACAACTCCACTGGTATTGTAACAAAGGTGGTGTTAGACACAGCCTTCCTCAGAGAGACAACAAATGGTGTTAGAATCAAGACCTGGCAGGTTAGAATCACATCTTTAACCACCATGTTGGTACTTACTTTTACCAAGAACAAGGGGAAACTCTGTCTGTGCATATGGTACAGGGAGGTTCGGGATATGTTCGCGCCGTTCGGTTCGAAAATGTGAGAATGGAAAATGTTGAGAACCCCATTATCATCGATCAGTTCTACTGTGACCATACTACTTGTGAACCTCAGGTACTACCCTCAAAATGCAGAATTTAGTTTGTCCATTGTCCATCATGGAGTCCAATACACTATTTTCTGTCAGGCATCTGCCGTGAAAATAAGCCAAATCATGTACCGGAACATAAGTGGAACCACAACGAGCAAGAACGCGATGAAGTTCGCCTGCAGCGACAGCTTTCCATGCAGCAACATAATTCTAAGCAATGTCAATTTGGAGAAGACGGATGGAACAGTGGAGACCTACTGCCACGCCGCTCAAGGCTTTGGATATGGCGTGGTGCATCCATCAGCAGACTGCTTAAGTTCCAGCGACAATGACATTGCAGCTTCAGATGAGACCCAAGTTCCGGAGCTGGAGGCAGTGCAACTCCCTACTGAGCGGCACATAGTTCACACTGAGCTCTGACCTTCATGTCCTGTCCATCTAAACTAAACTCAGAAAATATTTGTAGCATATATACATAGCACACACAATTATACCTACCCTTTTGGAATCTAAATAGAAATATAGACTATTAAGTAAATGATTGTAATATTTCTTGAAGAAAGTACACATATTTTGAATTTATAGTAATGGTTTTTTAATACCAGAGTTCATTGCATATGGTTTATGGCCTTCTAGTTCTAACTATATATAATACACACAAATACGTAGATGGGGATTAGTGGACAATAGTGAGAAACGAAAGGGGAAGATTGAGGAAGAAGGGCCGGTGTTAATGGAGGAGTAACGGTTAAAATATCATTACTAGTCCAATAGGGCCTCCTGAGCCATTGTATATTTATTTTTTGAATCAAAAAAATGATTCAGGTATTTTAAAATAAAGATATCTAGATATTTTCTGCCATAAATACTAATCCACCCTATTTAGGTTTTCATCGAAAAAGAAATCCAAAACACAAAATGCAGTAATATTATATAAAAGAGTGTCTTTCGATTGATGTTAATAAAAAGTGGAAGGGTTTGTCACACAGAGTTGTGTTCATCAGTAACGTGGGCACCCAGAAAACAGATGGAACTCGAGCATTCCTTTCAGAAATAAAAAATAAAAACAGAGCAGTTTCTGGTAGGATATCAACTTCTTGAAAGCGAAAGAAGGCGTACAGTAGAAGTGTCATGGAACAAGACAAAGTGGCTCACAAACGGATCCGTGAGGCTTGGCAAAAGAAAGTGCCTTTTTGCGTGGAATAAAGACAGAAATTGTAGGGACGGAAGAGCCATATCTAAAGGCGAGGAATCAAAATCGAGTTGGGACATATATGTAGGTGATAATAGTAAGGGCGTGTCTGGGAATAAGGCTTTTTTAACCACATGTACAATAATAAGATGGGTAAATTATAAAAATTATCTTAAATATATTTATCTAATGTCCTTAATTATTAAAATGATTAAACACATAAATATGGAAACATAAAAAGCAAATATAGAATGGTGTGCATGGAAGATAAGGGAATAAAAGAGTGATGTAGGCATAGTTATTATATTTATGGAGTTCACGAGAAGGCTCTAACCAACAGACAATATCATGTTTTAATTAAAAAATTAGACAGGTTAATAATGATGTGATTTAATACAAGCTTTTGAATTTTGGGCATCTTTTAGAATTTTAATTTCTAACGAAATTTAAAAGTTTTAAAGTGTCAAGGAAAAAAACGTTTTAAAGATAAAGAATGATTTTTTAAGAAAAGTTATCAATAGAACATGAGTGAAGAAACAAAATTGATGAGAAGAAAGAAAAAAAGTGCGAGCTTATTTGTTTGAATATCATTTCATTTTAATGGGAAAAACATTTTTAAATGATCAGGAAATTTAGGCTATATATAATTGCCTATATGTATTAGATAGTACCTATTTATTTCATTTTTTTTTCAATTACATTCTGTCATAAAAAAACATGTTACAGATTTATAATAAAAGTTTAACACCTCATCATATTATATTTTATTAATAGTTGTATTTCAAGTGTAAATAATAACATATATTGATATAATTAATGTCTTAAATGGGCAAACAATAATTTAATGATACGGAGAACCTTAAATACCTGAGAATTACTTAAAAAGCATATTTGGTAGTTGTTAACAGAGGGCTAGAAAGGAGAGAATTGGGGAAGTCAATAAAAGAATTAGACAGACGTAAAGACAACAAGATTCAGGAGCCTAGCTAGCCACACAGATATGTATGCA